ATTCCACTCCCAGTTTTAACGTTGGCACTTAGCATTGTGCTGGCCACATAGAGGGCACTCAGGAAATATCAACAGACTCCTGGTACTTACATTACCATAATATGATGTCTCTTCAGGAGTGCTAGTTTGTTTTGCAACCCTGCACTGTTCTCTTAGTGTTTGCACATTGAGTTGTTTATATGAATCAGTGATTGTGAAATAGTAAAGCACATTCTTCCTAATTTATTTAAAAGTTAACTTTTCTACTTAAAGTAATACTTGCATATTGAGGTAATACTAGAAGATATATAAAAAAAAAACAGCAGCATCCTTCTTTCTTCGTCTGCTTTTAACTGTGTTTATAGTTATTTAAAAGTCTATTTTGTGATCTGTCAATTTTAGATAATACCCATTGATTCCTTGTTACGATAAATGTGAGCTTGACCTCCTCCTTTCCCCAGTCTGGGCTTTCCAGTACAGATATCTATAATATATATATAAAAGCCTAAGTGACCATCCGGACCTGTCAATCAAATGATCAGGCGACCAGTCGCTGTGATGTGCACTGACCACGAGGGGGCAGGCGTTCAATGCAGGAGCTGACCCCTGGTGGTCAGTGCACTCCCACAGCCAATCTCCTTCAGTCTCTCCCCCTGACTGGCTGGCCCTGATTGGCCCCAATTGGTACTGGGCGAGACAGGCCCGATCAGCCCCAAAGGTACCCCACCCATGCATGAATTCATGCACTGGGCCTCTAGTATAGATATATAGAAATTCTTGATTAAGTTAGTGTTTACATTATTTTGACTACATCAATATTGCTTACTGCTGAGTTGGATAATTTACCTTGTTTCCCTGCCCACCTGTCCCCACCATTTGCTTATTTTTCCACGAACATATTACTAACTTTTACCAAACGCTTTGAAAGACCCGTGGGGATTGGGCCGCAGGAAGCTAGTGCAGCTGTTGCTGTGCGGGATGAGTTGTTTTTGTCTGTGTCCCAGAGGCTTCAGGCCTTTGTTTCTTTGTTATTAGCATGCTGGTAAGGTAAGGGAAATCTCAGGCCCTTCACAGGTTCTGACTTAGCAGGAATATCCCTCTGCTATCGTGTTAGAACTCCTGTAATTGTTAAGACATTCTAAATGGATCTTCTAATTTTCAATCTCCTGCTTTCCATCTATTTGTCTTCTTCTTCTTTAAATTTATTATGGGAGTTTTCTTGGCCTCCTTTTTATTGAAAATTTTATGGTATTTTTAATTTCAAGGGTCATTTCTTTTAAAAAATATTTTTATTGATTGCAGAGAGAAGAAGGAAGAGAGAAAGAGATAGAAACATCAGTGATGAGAGAATCATTGATTGGCTGCCTCCTGCACACCCCACACTGGGGTTCTAGCCTGCAACCCAGGCATGTGCCCTGACCAGGAATTGAACTGTGACCTCTTGGTTCATACGTTTACCCTCAACCACTGAGCCACCGTGGCTGGGCTGTGAATGCTTTTTAGAAAAACCAGATGACTGTGTCCTACCCTGACATTCTGAATTTTTTGAGGCCCAGACATATGTATTTTTAACCACGTGCTTCTCAGGTGTTTTTCATGTAGATTTAAGTTTGAGAGCCACTCGTTTGGACGGTGGTTGGAAAGTGACCTTTCAGACTGTGGAGGGTCTTGAATGTCAGTCAGTATTCTGTTTTTCAGATAATTGAAGCATCATTGAATGTTTTTGAGCTGCTGAGTGAAATGACGAAAGTGGTTATTTTACTAATATTAAAAATAAATTATATTTGTCCTTTTATTTGCCTAAGCATACACTGTGCCAGGTTGTTGTTTTTTAATCCTTACCTGAGGACATGCTTAGAGGAAGGGAAAGAGAGAGATAAAGATATAAAGAGAGAAAAGGACCGATCTGAGAGCGAAGCATTGATTAGTTGTCTCTGTCTTCACCTTGGCTGGGGACCGAACCTGTAACCAATGTGTCCTGACCGGGAATTGAACCCAAGACCCTTTGGTGCATGAGCTGACACACTAACCACTTAGCTACACCGGTCAGGACTGAGTGCATTGTATAGCTCATTTTGCTTCATTCTAGAATATCTTATGAGTTGTAAGTACTGTTGTTTTTCCCATTATGCAGTGAGGTTTTATAAGTTGTAAAATGGAGATTCAGACTGATTCTTATGCAGACTTAACAAAATCTTGCTCACACTAGAACCTTTCTTCATTGTAGTGCTGGACTGAATTTCCTGTTTCTTTTAAGGACTAATGCGGTAGTGGAGTGTTCACAGTGAGTCCAGTGGAAAGATTGGAAGTAAAGACACCTGGATATTGTTGCACTAAGTCATGTGAGATTATAGAAGCCTGGTCTAGCATGGAGGCAGTGAGAATGTAAAGGAAGAGATGGATTTAAAAGACGGTATGTAGCACTGCGGATGTTGTAGAAGAACCCAAAGGACTTATTGATGTCATTGGAGAGTCACCCTATTAGAGTGCTAAAGACCAGGGATTCTGCAATGAGATTCCCTGCGTTCAAATCCTGGCTTTGCCACTTATTACCTGTTGTCCTTGGGGAAGTTCCTTAATTCTTCGGCCCCTTAGCTTCCACATCTGTAAAGTGAGGAAATTAGGACCACCTCTTAGAGTTGTTCATAGGGACGACATGAAGCAGGAATTATAAAGCACTTAGCCTAGTTTCTGACACAGATGGGGCTGAGTAAAAGCGCCACTGCACACACTGTTCCCTCTGTCTCAGATGCTCCTGTGTGTTTTCATAGCTTTTTGTGTATAAATAACTCCATTGTGATACATACCACACATGTTAAATAGGCTTTGGGTTCATGAATGGCAAGGGACTTGGTCTTGTTCACTTTTACATTTTCTGTTTCCAGCATAACACCTGACATTTATAGGAAGTGTGTAATAGGTAATTATGGAATGAATGGTTGGTTATGTGAGTGAGAATTTGAGGCAAAAAGATTTGGAGGAGTTGTTTATTTTGGGGGGCAGTGTTAAAATCTGTTTTAAAATTTATGATGATGTTAAGACATCAAATGGAAATGGCCATTAAGTAAAGATTTATGCTTGGATTTTGGCTGAGAAGTCAGGATAAAATACTAGTTCTGGGTCACTCACATAGAGGTTAAAACAAAAGCCAGAAGCATACTCAGATCCTTCCAGAAGGAGAGAAGGTAAAAAGAGTACAGTCCATTTAACAACTATATATATATATATATAACTATATATATAACTATATATATAGTTATATATATATAGTTATATATATATATATAAAAAAGGATGCTTTGTTGTGATAACTTCAATTTATTTTATTTATAATTGTAGTAAATGTATATGATATAAAACCATCTTAGCCATATTTAAGTGTAGAATTAATCAATGTTAATTCACATTATAAATATATATATTTACTTTAAATTATCATTTAAGGACAATCTACCTCAGGAGTTATGTCATATATACTATAGAAAAATCACATTTCAGGGTAGTTTTTGCATAATGGGAACTTCAGGGAGTACTGGAAGTTGAGAGGACAAACTGGTTTTGAGAGGGAGGATGGAATCAGTTTTGCGCACACATGTTCTTGACTACATTGCATTAAAATAGGGTCCTTTGAATCCCCGGCTGCGTAGCTTAGTTGGTTAGTGTGTGTACACTCACACTGTGGTCAGGGCACATGCAAGAGTCAACCAGGGGGTACATAGATAAGTGGAACAACAAATTGATGTTTCTCTCATCTCTCTAAAATCAATAAAAAAAAATTTAGAAAAATCGATCCTTTGAAAGGTTTACTTGTAATGGCATAAGCCGTAGCATGCTTCTTGTTTTTAGTATAGACTTATATGAGGGGCATTGTTATCTACAGAATTATTGCTTATATGTTGCACACGTAATTAAAATATGTTATCCTTGAGTTTAAAAAAATCTTCAGAATTTTAGTGATGTAAGTAGAACTGGCATTACGGTCAGAGGTTGGGACTAGGAGAGGGAAGCCACTAGTGAAACCAGGAGAAAGGCGCGATTATTGACATAAGCAGAGGAAGAAGAGCTGAGAGCCAAGGAAGTCTTGAGGCACAGAAAGAGGGAAAGCAGTGGGACTCTGAGCTGAGGTGAGCTGATTGGATACAGGGTTTTTCAAGTTCCATTTTATTCTTGTTTTCATAGGTAAGAGTCTTGGGAGTTTCGAATACAGTAAATTGGGGCCAGGTCGTGTGTGTGTGTGTGTGTGTGTGTGTGTGTGTGTGTGTGTGTGTAAGCTTGGTACACACACACACACCAAGTGCAGAAGAGATGCCGTTGGACCTGGGTTTGCTGCTTTGCTTTCTGTGAGTGTGGGGAGTAGATGAACTTTCTGACAGGAATACTCCAGTGGCTAGTCTTTGCGTGTTCATCATTTCAGCTGCCTCGGGCACTGCCTTCCTCTGCTCAGCAGATAGTACCTTTGTTGCTGCCTGGGGCGTGAGGTATGTCCATTCTAAGATCTACAAGTACACATTCTTTTTATATATATATATTTTTATTGATTTTGTACAGAGAGGAAGGGAGAGAGATAGAGAACCAGAAACATCGATGAGAGAGAGTCATCGATCGGCTGCCTCTTGCACACCCCCTACTGGGGATATGCCCACAACCAAGGTACATGCCCTTGACCGGAATCGAACCCGGGTCCCTTCAGTCCCCAAGCCGACGCTCTATCTGACACTCTATCCATTGAGCCAAACCGGTTTCGGCTACAAGTACACATTCTGATTTTTGTATCTGTGTTGGTTAAGGCAGATGTTAGCTCCATTTTTCTCCTTGTAACTTTGTATCTGATGTCTCGTATTTAAAAATTAAAAAAAGGTATGATTTCTTTTAGTAAGTTTACAGTTTTTTTTTACATTTACGTCAAGGATATGGAAAAGTTTGAGGATTATTTTGAATAAGTTTGAAATTTCTTTTTATCTTTTTCTAGGTTGTCTTGCGGAAATGAAGGTTTAAGGACAATTTGTCTACCAGATTAGAAGATGGGATCAAACAGCAGCAGGATTGGTGATCTTCCTAAAAATGAGTACTTAAAAAAGTTATCAGGCACAGAATCTGTCTCTGAGAATGACCCGTTCTGGAATCAGCTTCTCTCATTTTCTTTCCCTGCACCAACCAGCAGGTAAGAGATCACTTGGAGATTAAAATTCGTATAGGGGGCCACATACATTTGTGTGCTAGGTTCAGTTAAAAAAAATTGTTTTTAAATGTTTCTTCGTCCATTTATCCACCCATCCATTATCTGCCTGTTTATCATACATGTACCAGTAGACAATCCAAAAGGTAGGAAATTAGGAAGTAAGTTTTCTTTTCTTCCATTCAACCCTGTCCCTTTTCCAGAGATGATTTCTGGTGGAATTTTTTAAAATTTTTTAAATTTTGATTTTATTTTACTGATTTTATACAGAGAGGAAGGGAGAGAGATAGAGAGTTAGAAACATCGATGAGAGAGAGTCATCGATCAGCTGCCTCTTGCACACCCCCTACTGGGGATATGCCGGCAACCAAGGTACATGCTCTTGACCGGAATCGAACCCGGGACCCTTCAGTCCCCAAGCCGACGCTCTATCCATTGAGCCAAACCGGTTTCAGTAAGAATTTTTTTTTTTTTTAATCCTTCTAAAGATAGTACAAGGTTATTTAAGCCTATATCTCAGGTAGTTTTGTAAAATTATATAAACACAAGGTTAGCATACTTCACATACCTTGCTTTTTCTTTTTTCCTTGCTATCTCTGGCATTTTCTTCCCAATTAATTGAAATATATCTAAGCATATATTTCTTTTAAATGTCTGCAGAATATTTATAGAATATAATGAGTTTTCTCTTGGTGGACATTTAGATTGTTTCCAATCTTTTGCTATCACACATAATGCTACATACATTATTTCTCATGCATACAAATATATCTCTAGTTTAGAAAGTAAACATGCTGGGTCAAACTGCATATGCAGTTGTAACCTTGGTAGATATTGCCAAACTGTGCTCCATGGAAGTTGTGCCAATTTATACTACTGCCAGCAATGTGTGAGAAGGTATATTTCCGCACACCTTTGTCAATTTAATGCAGTTTTAGACTTTTTGACCTTTGTTAATCTGATAGATGAAAACCAATATTTCACTTTTAAACTGACTCCTGAGCCAGAGAAATAGGTGAGCACTGGTCCAGGTAGGGAACAACATAAGGAAAGCCCAGTGGTGAGGAATAACATGTCAGGTGTGTGAAACTAAAGAGGAGTGGTGAGGGAGGAGGTTTGGAAGATTTGGGGGTTCTGGTGGAAAGTATTAATGAGTTTTGATTTTTGTCCTAATATCAGTAGAAACCATGGAAAGATTTTCATCAGAAAGGGCATGATCAGATTTTCATTTTTAAAAAATATTCCAATTGCATAATATTGTGGTAATTACTCTTTCCTTCAGCAGAACTTATTACTTCCTGACTAAACAGTTTTTGTTTTGTTTTATAAAATAATTCATTTATAAGATATATTCAAATTCCACCCATATTCCAGATATGTAAGTAAAAAGAGGGATACATGGATACTGTGTGAGATAGGCATGATTTCAGGATTCTGGAAAATATTTTGGAGGCGGTGCAATATGAACAGAGGCCCAAAGAAGGTGGATGATTTAGAAGCAGAGCAAGCAAGAAGGAGAATCCTGACATTTTTATTTTATTTTATTTTGTTTATTTTATTTTATTTTAGTTAATTCTTACCCAAGGATATTTTCCCCATTGATTTTTAGAAAGAGTGGAAGAGAGGAAGGAGGGGAGAGAAAGGGGAGAAAGAGACAGAAACATTGAAGTGAGAGAGAAACATCTATTGGCTGCTTCCCACACGCACCTTGACCAAGGCCAGGGATGGAGCCGCTAACAGAGGCACGTGCTCTTGACTGGAATAGAATCTGTGACTTTTCAGATCACTTATCTACTGAGTCAAACCAGCTAGGGCAGAATCCTGACTTTTTTTTTAATAATATATTTTTATTGATTTTTTACAGAGAGGAAGAGAGAGGGATAAAGAGCTAGAAACATCGATGGGAGAGATCATCGATCAGCTGCCTCTTGCACACCCCTCACTGGGGATGTGCCCGCAACCAATGTACATGCCCTTGACCAGAATTGAACCTGGGACCTTTCGGTCCGCAGGCTGACGCTCCATCCACAGAGCCAAACTGGTTTCGGCATTCCTGACATTTTTTAAAATAGCATGGACAAAGGCATTGAGGCATAACACAGTTCTGTGTGTGGGTGTGGACCAGTGGGATACTAGCATGCCTGAAGGAAAGAGCTGATCACAGGGGCCTGTCCTGTGGGCTAGAGCCCGTCCTAGCATTGGCAGATGATAAGAAAAGATGGGAGAGCCATGATGTCTGTAGATGGAATTTAATAAATTATAATTTTATTTATTTTTGTATGAAAAAGATAATGCATTCTTCTGGATCAAAATTCAAAGATTGAAAGGTTATAAAACTGGGAGTCTCCTTCTTCTGTCCTCACACATGCTTAGTTCTTTCTCCCAGAGGCAACAGATGTTATCATTTTTCTTAAAGTCCTTTTAAGGATGTTTCATGTTGTTTTAGTCCGTGGGGACTACTTTAACAAAATACCACCGACTAGGTAGCTTACAGCAAGAATTTATTGCTCAGGGTTCTGGAGGCAGGAAGTCTGAGCTCTCAGCACCAGCATGGTTGGGCAGTGACCCTCCTCTGGTTCAGAGCCCGCACATTCTCTCTGTCCCCACAGCGGAGGGAGCCAACCAGCTTCTGGGGCCTTTCTAATAATACAAGGCCCTAATCCCATTCATGAGGATTCCCCCTTCATGACCCAATCACTCTCAAAGGCCCACCTACTAATACAATATACTTGTGCCTGTAGGGGTTAGGATTTCAACATACGAATTTTGGGGGGGACATAAACATTCAGACCATAGCACATGCATCCCCTTAATTAGACTAATAATAGCACCCACTTCTGTTCTTTGTGCTTTTATTCAATGACTATATTTTAGAGAGCCTTCTCTATATTAGCTTCCACATTATTTTGATGGGGCATTGCATGTCATAACTGAATATACCAAAAATAATGTAGCAGTATACTTTTACCATTTGAATTGCTTCTAGTACTTTGTTATTACAGATAATACATCAGTGAATAATCTTATACGTCCGGGTAGAAGTGATTCTTGTGCTGTGAATTAAGTACGACCAAAAAACTTCCATTAATTTTTCCAGTTTATGTTAGGAGGACAGGATAAACAATGTAATAGGTTGGGAACATATTTTAGGGAGTAATGCAAGCACTTCCCAACATATGGGGGGGTGGGCAAAAGTAGGCTTACAGTTATAATACAATAATCCTATATAATATAAGCCTAATATGCAAATTGTTCCCTAGACCAGGAGTTTGACGGCTTGCTATGACCGCATGCTGATCACCAGGGGGCAGTGCTGGCAGTGGAGTCACTGCGGCGCTTTGATCACCTGCCAGGCCTAGGGACCACACCTGAGCATGAATTTTGTGCACTGGGCCTCTAGTCTATATAAAGCCTAAGCAACTGAACAACCTGTCAACCAGTCTCGACACTCACTGACCACCAGGGGGCAGGGGCAGATGTTCAATGAAAGAGCTGCCCCCTGGTGGTCAGTGTGTTCCCACAGCGGTATCATCACCCAGCTGACCCACAGGCTCCAGATGCAGGGCTCATAGCTGGTGAGTGTCACTGCAGAGAAGCCAGCCTCTCCTGAATGGGACTGACTGGGTCCGAGCCTGTGGCAGGTGCAGCAGGCCAGGATGAGTGGGAGCTTCAGGCAGGAGCGGCAGATGGCGTGTACTCCAGTTTCGGCCTGATCGCTGCAGGCCACGCTGAGGGACCCCACCGGTGCATGAATCTGTGCACCAGTCCTCTAGTTAGTAATAATACAGGAATAGCCGAAACCGGTTTGGCTCAGTGGATAGAGCGTCGGCCTGCGGACTGAAAGGTCCCAGATTCAATTCCGGTCAAGGGCATTACACTGGTTGCAGGCACATCCCCGGTATGGGGTGTGCAGAAGGCAGCTGATCGATGTCTCTCTCATTGATGTTTCTAACTCTCTGTCCCTCTCCCTTCCTCTTTGTAAAAGATCAATAAAATATATTTAAAAGTAATAATAATACAGGAATAAACTGTTTTGCATAATCACAAGTGTAAGCCTACTTTTGTTAACCCCTGCTTTTCATGATGTTTCAGGGTAAACTGATGAGGCTGCTCTAGTGGCCTGGAAGCTCTGAAGGGGGTGGGGATTGGGAACATCAAAATCTGTCCATCTGTTGCCCATTTTTTGGCACGCCTGTTAGAAAGCTGAGGATTAGAATTCTGCCCCCTGGTAGGTTGTTGTTGAATGGATTTGGGGAAAGTATTGTTTTAGGGAGGTTGCTTTGATTGATTGGAAAGAGCAGGAAGGAAGAGAAAGTAGGTCAAGAAAACCAAATGTGAGGCAGTAGCAGTTAAGTAACCACCATGTGATGAAGGCTGAAGTTCTGTGCCTAAGCAGGAAATGGAAGTTCTACATCCTGGTGAAACTGATGTATCCAGTTAATAGAACTTTGTATAGAAAAATAGATTTTAAAAGTTTTTGTTTTAGATTGATTTGAGCATTAATATTTTTTAAAAAGAATTTATTGGGGTGACATTGGTTAATAAAATTATACAGGTTTGAGGAATACAGTTCTATAATACATCATCAGTATATTGTATTGAGTGTTTACCACACCAAGTCAAGTCTCCTACCCTGTTTCCTCGAAAATGAGACAGTGTGTTATATTAATTTTTCTCCCAAAGTTGCGCTAGGTCTTATTTTCAGGGGATGTCTTAGTTTCGGGGAAACACGGGTATCACCATTTATTTTCTGCTACCTGCCCCCATCCTACCTTCCTTCTGGCAGTCACAATACTGTGTCCATGAGTCTTTTTTTTTTCCTCTTTGCTTAATCCCTTCATCCTTTTCACTCAACCCTCAATCTCCTACCCTCTGACAGCTGTCAGACTGTTCTCTGTACCCATGAGTCTGTCTCTACTTGGTTCGTTTATTTTGTTCGTTAGATTCCACATATAAGTGAAATTTTATGGTACTTGCTTTTCTCG